TGGAAAGGACTTGAGATCAAGTCCAACTATTTTCCCCCAGTGTTGCCAAGGCCACAACTAACACGTGTCCCCAAGTGCCACGTCCACATGGCTTTTAAATCCATCCAGGGATAGTGACACCACCACTTCCCTGGGCAGTCTGTGAAGGGCTGGACAGCCCTTTCCATATTAGGAATTTTCCCTAATATCCAACCTGAACCTCCCCTGGCACAACTTGGGGCTGTTTCCTCTTGTCCTGTCACTTGTTACCCCGGGAGAAGAGACCAAGTCCTACCTGCATCCACCCTCCTCCCAGGGAGCTGTGGAGAGTAATATGGTCCCCCCTGAGCCTCCTTTTCTCCAGGCTGAGCCCTCCCAGCTCCCTTTCATTATTCCCATAACACCGGGCTCTGTCCCGGCAGGATTCAAGGGCGAGCGGGACCACTGGCGCAGCGGGAGGACGATTTGCATCAAGACCCACGAGAGTGGCCAGAAGGAGATCGAGTCCTTCGACTCTGCCATCCTGCTCATCAGGAACCCCTACAAGGCCCTGATGGCCGAGTTCAACCGCAAGTACGGGGGACACATCGGCTTCGCTGCTCATGCCCACTGGAAGGGCAAAGGTAGGCCAGGGGTTGGGATCTGGTGGGAGAGCTCCAGCCTGGCCACCGGAGCTGGGAAGCGGGTGGCAAAGCCCAGCAGAGCCTGGATTGGGTCTCCATTGGAGAATCTTGGGCTGTGCCACCACTTTGGGGTCACCATGTCCATCTCCTGGCATGACCAGCAGCATCGTCTTGCATGGCCAAGGGCTCCGGAGCTGGGTGGGATGGGGTGGGATGGAATGGATTAGAATGGGGTGGGACAGGATGGGATGGGATGGAATGGATTAGAATGGGATGGGATGGGTTCAGTGGGATGGAACAGATTAGAATGGGGTGGGACACAATGGGATGGAACAGCAGGACCACTCTGCCCTGGGTGGGGCCAGTGCAGGGATGGGCATCTCCTCTCCTCAGTGTCATCAGAGGGAGTGGGGGCTGCCACGAGCCCATCCCTACGGACAGGGCGGTATCCGGGTGGGATTTCCATGTGCCCGGCTGCTCCAGAGACACCACCTTTCCCATGCACAGGCGTGTTGTGGAGGCTGGTTAATTACAGCAATTTACAAATTGCTGTTGTGGGATTGACTTCATTGGAAAGAGTTAAAATATTTAGCTTGATTGAACATCTGCTACCCTTAATTCCGAGTTTATTTAAGGGGAGCTTTTGCTGCTGTGGCTGTTTTGTGCCTGGATTTCGTTATCTCCATGTGCTCACAGAGCCAGAGAGAGCCCAGCCCTGCTCTCCCCATCCCATAAAACCAGGAGGGAGTGATATCCCCCAATCCTTGTTTCCCTGAGAAAGTCCCTGGGCTGCCATTGCCCCAGCACAGTGGGACAGGAACCTCTTGGTAGATTTTATCCCTATCCAACTGCAGATAGAGCTGGAGAGGGGATGTGGGACCATCACTGCAGCACCACAGGGATCATCCTGACTCTTCCCAATCCCAGCCTGTCCCACGCCTCGTGCCTCCAAGGGGAGGGGTAGGCCAGGCAGAGGGGACCATTCCTTCTGCTCAGCACCATCCCATTAGGACATGCATCAAAATACATCACCAAATTCTTTCCAGGGGATGTACAGCATAATTAGGTTAATTACGGTCAGAACTTGCTGGGAAAGGTGGAGATTTTCCATTGTTTGGTTGGTGAGCCCCATTTTGCTGATCCTACCTGGGCTCAGCCTGGGGAGACCCTTGGTCATGGAGGAGGGGAGTCCCATCCCCAGTCTTCCCTGCAACCCAGCTCTCCAAATGATTTCCTTCTCTCAAGAACTAATTTGGGGGCAAATTTGGGACAAAAAGCACCATGATCTCTCTCCAGCCTCACCCCCAGGTGCTGGTGCCAGGGGGATGGATCTCCTTCCCCGCCCCATTCCCAGCCCTGCAGAGGCCAAACCCCTGTCTGGTTCCATGACGTTAATTTTACGATATCCCTGGAGCGGTTCCAAAGCAAAGTTTTATGTGGTGTGATTACACAAGGTGAATTGTCCTGGACCTGTTTAATGAAACAGATCCTGTGTTTAATGATTCCTGAGGGAATTAAGCACAGTTCAGCAATTAATCAGGCACTGGTTTCGTGGGGAGGACACGAGAAAGAGGCCGATGCCCAGGGCTTTTATGCGCCGTGGCTGGATCTGTGCGGCACCGCCGGGAAGGTTGTGGCTGATTATTGATGTTTCATTACCCCTCTTACCACCTGATTTCTACAGGAGGATCAATTAGGCAGCAGGATAACTGAGAGATCTCAGCAGGGGTGTGGGAGGACACAGGGCACACCCACCCACCCACCGTGTCCTCTGCTCCTTCTTTCCAGAGTGGCCGGAGTTCGTGGCCAACTACGCGCCGTGGTGGGCGACCCACACCCTCGACTGGCTGCGCTACGGCAAGAAGGTGCTGGTGGTGCACTTTGAGGACCTGAAACGGGACCTCTTTGTGCAGCTGCAGCGGATGGTGGGGCTGCTGGGCATCACTGCCTGCGAGGACAGGCTGCTCTGCGTCGAGGGCCAGAAGGACGGCAACTTCAAGCGCTCCGGCTTGAGGAAACTGGAGTACGACCCCTACACCCCCGAGATGAGGAAGATGATCAGTGGCTACATCAAAACAGTGGACACGGCTCTGAAGCTCCGGAACCTATCAGGGGTCCCGGATGATTATTACCCCAGATGATGGTGATGACAGCGGGGGGACCTGACCCTGCTCCCGGCCTCTGCCTAATTCCACCCAGTGGGTGGTTCTGCTTTTAATTCTCCATCTGCTGCTATAGCTGTTGATCAACTCCCTGCATGAGCGACGAGTGGTCCCCAGCCAGTGCTGAGCTTGTTTGGCCATCACAGATCCCCGGCACGGCGGCAGCGCTGAGGGGACACGGGTGCCTTCACCACCACAGGGTTCCTGCTCCATCCCACTCCTGCTCTGGCTGCCACAGCCCTCCTTGGAAGTGCAGTGGGTTTTATCTGTGGTCCTTGCAAGTGCCCTGGGTTGTCTGTGGTCTCTTTGGGCTGGCACAGGGACACTGGCCGTGCCTGATGGACCCAGTGCCACCGGAGCTGAGCTCCCTAGGGTGGGTATCCCCAAACTCCCCTCACTTCATGGCCAGCCCTGGGAGGCCTCTGCTTGTCCCTGGATGGAATCCATCAGCCTTAGACCAAGGGGTGGGACTGCGTGGGTGTTGCTCCCATGAGATCCCATCATTCCAGATGGGAATCAGGAAGGCTGCCCTGGGGAGAGCAATGCCCCCAAAAAAGGTGGCTGTGCCCCCATGATCCATCCCTTGGCTCCCTGGGGTCCCTGGAGCAAGGCTGCATTCCCAGCCCCAGCACCAGGCAACATTGCTGCTCCAGCCTGGGGAAGAGGGGGCCATGACCTCCATCTGGGTGGCTCCAGGTGGGATCTCTCCCCTCAACAGGGATGATGCTCAAGAGGGGGACAGAAGAGCTTTTGCGACCCAGGAGCTCATCTGTGCCTCATTTCAGGAGCTCACAAGCCAGAACAGCCCCTCCAGCAGCAGTTTTGGGGGCCAGGAGCTGCAGATGGGGAGCAAACCCTGGGGCTGAGCTTTGGGGGGGCCCCCCTGGCCGAGCCCCTCCAAGCCCCAAGCCAAACCAAAGGATCCCGTGGGCACAGGAAGGTGCCGTTTCCAGGCTGGCTTTGTGCAGAGCTGCATGTGATCCCCAGCCATCCCCTCATCCCACGCCGCCCTCCCAGCCGTCCCTGTCCCGGCTTTGCCCCGGAAAAGCTCCTCCAATATTCCCAACCTGCGAGTTCCCTTCGGATGTAGGTGCAAAAGCCATATATTGTACGCAGCCTTTTTCTAGATTAGATACTGAACAATTGGCTTTTAACTCTTGATCTTGATAGAAACGCAGGCACAGGTCAAATCGAGACACACCACTCGAGCTGTATTCAAAGAGAGAAGAAAATTCCATGGAGAAAAAGGAGAATTTAAATAAAAATATATTTTTCTAATGTGCTTGAGGAGCAAACACGAGCTGGGGGGCTCCTGCTCCCTGTTTCTTTTGCACGGAGGTGGGTGAATGTGTTCAGAGGGAGCAGCTGCCCCGGTTTTAACTCTTGCCTTGACAAATGGCTGGAGGTTTTTTTGGGAATGGAGCTGAGCCCACGCTCCTTCGCTCACGGCAGCCCCGGGGCTGTTTACCTCGGTCAGAGCAAATCCTCAGGTCAATCCAGCTATTAAAGGAGAGATTTTGTTGCTATTCTGCCTCCCCGTGTGTTTGTGGGGCCACCTGAGCACCCCCCACCCATCCCAGGCATCCCAGGGTGTCCCACAGGCTCCTCTCCCCCACCTTTCACCCCAACAGTGTGATTTCTGTATTTAAGCCACTGACAACACAACCAAAGGGGCTCCTTCTTGGGAGCTTTAGTACCTTTACAGTGTCCTTCAACACGAGTTTATTGGGGTCCGTGGGGAGATTCACTGCAGGCTTTATTCCTGGTGCCTCCCAACCTTCCTCAGCACTGGAGCAAGAGCAGGTTCAGTGCGATTTATTCCTTATTTCTGATCAGGAGTTGGTGAAATCCCTTTTTTTACGGCAGCACTGGGTGTGCGGTGATGAAGACACACGTCAGGCGTGATTTGTTCTGACAGGCCGCGGCTGCCAAAGGGGCAGCGTTCCCTTCCGCCCCTCGGAAATAATTAAACCCCAAAAGCCAATTAATCTCGGAGATAAAACAATTAAGAGCTGACATTGCGTGCAGCCAGCGTGCTCAGAGCCTGGGCTGCAGCTTGTCAGAGGAAGGGTGGAGTGTGGGGAGGGGGACCCCACATCTGCCCCGAGGCCCCCATAAACCCCTTCCCAACCCACGGCAAAAGGACCGAGGGAGCTCCCTGAGCACCAGCAGATTCAATTCCCATCTTTTTTCCCCCCTCCCTGCCTTTATTGCACCGCAATTGCTTTTTTTGTTTTTTTTTTTTTTTTTTAAATTTAATTTGCACTGAAATGGAGCACTTGGAAGTCATTAGGTCCCTGTCAACATGTACTGCACATCTGGTTGCACCTCTGGATGAGAGGTGGGGTCCCTCCTTCCCCTCCATCCCACTGATGCAGGAGCAGCTTCTCCCTCCTGCCAGGAGCTGCTGTCCCTGCACGCACAGAGCCCAAGCTTCATGCTCTCATTTACTTTTATTTATTTATTAAATGCCGGGTTATATTTTTACCACGTGGGACTGGCACGCACTAATAAAATCTCTATTCCCCCTGGAAAGAGGAGCCAACCATCCTTCCTGCATCATCTTCCTGTGCAGAGCTCTTGACATTTAATAGCCTCCCTGCTCGGCTGCCTCTGTAATGCCATTAACCCGGGGAAGGCAACACTCAGCCTTTCCATGAGGATTGGAAAAGGTGGGAATCTTTCCGCTTGACTCAGCCCCGGCGAGCCCTCAGCAGTCCCTGGGTGGGCAAAGCCACCTCGCCCGATCCCACGTGGGGCTGGGGGGGATCCTGAACTGCCCCCCTCCCTGGATTCCTGTACTGAAATTCATTTATTTTCATCAATCTCTCGTCCCTGGGAGTGTTTTCCTGCCTCCCGGTCCTGCGCTGGCGGAGGCTGCAGCATCCTCCCTCCTGGGCTGGATGGGTTTCTCAGCGGTTGCTGTGGCAACGGCGGCGGCTGCACCAAAACCACCCGCATTTCCCCCAGTTCTGTGTGGGTTTTGTGCTCAGCGGCCCCTGCAACAGCGGCTGCACCAAAATCACCTGATATTCCCCCAATTCCCGGGGGGGGAGGGGGGGCTGTTATGCTCTGTGGTCCCTGTGGTGCAAGAGATGATTCTGGAGATGATGCCCAGAGCAGCTCAGGATGGGGCTCCCTCCCTCATCAAAGGTAGTGGGAGCCCCTTTGGGGTCAATCCAGGGGGTTCTGGGCAACGACCCCAGTGATGCCGGGGGGCTCAGAGCAGCTCGGGTAGAAGCTTCCCAAATTAAATCCCATGAAGTTCCTGCTGTGTTTAAATGAGAGGGAAATCACCCCTCTCAGCAGCACCACCCAGCAGCACTGTCACAAAAGCCCCTTTAACAGGGAGATGTGTCATAAATCTGAGGGCAGCAAAATCCATCCCTGACGAACCCAACATGTTTATTTATCAGCTTTGCTATTTTCCCCCAAATTTACAGCTGACAATCTGCATGAACACACCAGAGATAATTTAAACATGGCTCCAACCTGCCTGGCTCAGAGGAAAGGGAGAGGGTAACTTGTTTATTCCTTTTTTTATTATTATTTTTAATTTAATTCCAGCTCCAAATAAAGGAGTGATTTATGGGTGAGGGAAAGCACGGCTTTATTTCAGTGCCACGACAGGCAAGTGAAAAAGAGCCGTCATTAAGGCCGGTAATGCGCTCCACAGAAATGGGATTGGAGTATTCCAGAGTCATTTCTCACGTGGAATGAGACCCAGCCTCAGGTTAAAGGAGGGTGAGAAGAGGGCATGGAGAGGCATGAGGTAGGTTTGGGATGTGCTGGGTGAGGCTCCTGGTGGGCTGCAACAGCATCGGGGTCTGGGGGTGCTGAGCCCCTCAGCACGATGGGATCATGGGGTAGGGAGGGGTGGGATGGCTGGGAACAGGATCTGGGGGTTGGGGATGGGGGAGGTCACAGGGTTGTGAACTGTTGGTTCTGGACTGAGGGTCAGGGGTTCTTGGGATGTTCCAGGGCTGGGGATGGGGGTCCTGGGCTGGAGGTATGGGTTCCAGGGCTTGGGATGAGGGGTTGGTGTCCCAGCTCCGAAACCTGCTGCTCTTCCCTCACAAACCCTGACCTACCCTAAGCTCATGATCACCAGGACTGCCTGAATTGCAGGTTTAACAGGGCTGGTGGTGGCTCTGCACCCCACTCATCCCTAAACTCTGAGATGCTAAACCTCTCTGCACCCCTAACTACCAATTTCACCAATTTCTGCCCTAAAAGGGCAAGCACAGAGCTGGGACACCAGCCCTGGAGCTGCAGCTCCCACTGAGCCCCTTCCCTGGATGCTAATTCCAGTTTGTGCACATCCCCCTGCAGCTGGTCATTAACCTCCTGCTGTCATTAATCAAGAGCACGTCGTTAATTCATAGAGGACTTCATTAATTCATAGCGAAGGACGTCTCCATCTCAGCAGCCCAGGGGGACCAGGATCACTGGGATGCATCCAAGGATCCTCATTTCAATATCTTGGACCTTCCCCTCACCAGCAGGGCAGCCTGAGCCCCCTCCCCTCCATGGACAAAATATCCAGCACTGCAAAAAAAAACCCCAAATGATGCATCTGACAGGATACATCTCCAGCACCCTGTGACATTCCTGTTCCTGCAGCATTTAGGCAATATCAGAGGAACTGGGATAATACTGACCTGCTTTTCTTTGCCACTCTGCCAAAATGGCAAGAAAAACCTGGCTGAAGAGGCTCGAGCTGCTGGAGTTTTAGGAGGAATATGTTTATCCTGTTTCTATTATATATATATATAAAAATACACATTTTTAATGCTCCCTGTGTGATCTTTTTGCTGTGATTAGTGGGTGACAGGAGAACAGGAATCACTGATATTCCCTGGGGATTTGTCATTATTTCCTGGCTTGTTCAAAAGCTGGCAGATTACAGGGTCCAGCTGTAAAAATTCAGTGGATTTTTCCCTCCCTGTTCCTCCAAAATAGCCTCAAGGTTGGGGGGGGTGAGGGTTGGGGGTTCTGGGGTGCAGGAGGTGATGGGGAAGCAGCCCCTGCTGGGAGGGATGGAGGGAGATCCCACAGACAGATCCCACCCAGGGACCAACTCAGCACTGGCATTAATAATTCCAGGTTCAATTTGGAATAACAGAGTGTTTTCTGGATGTGATCCAACACATGGACAATGGAAAATGATTCTCTTCCAGCTGACTTTTACACACAGATACATTTTTCCCCTTAAAGAGCCATTTGGTCTTTTCAGGGACAAATTAAAGTGGGAATTCCCCGGAGAACATCTTTGGGACATTTCCTATCCAAGAGGCTCAGAGCACCATGCTCCCATCTCGATCACTCACCCTGCAACCCCTCTGCTCCTGACCACTTTGACAATTCCAAATTCAACAGCAAGGATCAAGAATACACACTGGGAAGTGACTGCTCCGTGAAAAACTCTGGGATCCTTCCCACTCCATGTAATGGGCTTCAGCACATACCAGGGATATTTGTATGGAAAACAGGTTTTTTTATTAAATAAGTAAACAGCTACAAGGATGAACTCAAACATTTGGGAAACTTGGGATTCCCAAGTTGTCATTATAGTGATGATTTAACCCCGGGTTAAGTACCAAGTCACTGGTTTTTTTGGAAAGCTGTTTGCAGAAATAATAGATGGGCTTGCAAAACCCAGCCACCAAAATTAGTGAGGAGCATCCCTGCTCCAGCATCTGCCACGGTTATGGGTTGTGCATTGGTTTTAGGGGGAAAAACATGTGGATTTGGGCTGGGAGTAGCCCTGGGCTTGGCCACTGGACGGTACAGCCCAAGAATGTGGCACTTCTCCCTGGGGAAGCAGCTAATTCCCAGCTCCCAGGAGATATGGAGGCACCTGGAGCCAGGTGTTGCCTGTCCTACAGCCCCCTATGTAATGAGAGCAGTACCCAGTAGTTGAAGTCACTAATTTCCCATTAATTTCCCACTACTTTCCTTCATAAACCTCATCCCCTGCTGCATTTCCCTTCAGGGCTCAGGCTGGACACCCTTTAACTTTCAGGATAAATCTCCCACTTTTAGCAGACTGGATCCACAGTGATGGGAAGGAGGAGGTCACCTCCCTGCCCTGGCTTGGGGGACAAACTTGCCCCAGCACAACTCACATTGTCAGCAGCACCAAAACCGCAGCCAAACACACCGGATCCATCGGGATCCCTGTCCCAGGGCAGGGATGCTGCAGGCAGCCTCATCCCAGGGAAGGATGGATCCAGCTGCCGTGGCGTGGCTGTTCCACTCTCCCCATCACTCTAACGAGGTTATGCAGATCAAGGTAGAGCAGGGAGGCAGTGCCAGGGTGGAGGGGACGCCCGATAATCCCTCTGAAATCCAGCTCCCGCTGCAGCATCCGCTCTGATCCGTGGCATTCCCGCAGCTCAGGGAGGCAGCTCAATTACCGGGGCTTTGTGGTTCGGTTTGTGCCTGTCTGGCACAAACTGCTGCCACCAGGAGCCCGTAAATAGCTCTCTGCATCTGCCTGGGAGCTACCTCTTCATGTTTTTTTTCCATTTTCTGATTTTCAAGAAATAAATATCTCAGCCTTCGTGGGCACCTGTGAGCAGACTCTCAATTGCCAGCGTGTCAATCCCCACACAAAGCTCCTGTGGGGACCTCCTGAAATGTCCCTGGTGCCACTGGTGCTGCCCAAACCCAGCTCCAGGGCTCCTCACTTTCCCTGGAATGAGAGGCTGTGAGAGACACAGAGAAACCAGCACATAAATAAGCGTGACAGAGGTGTCGTGGTCAAGCCCTAATGGAGAAGGAGCTCCCAGATTAAGTGTGTGTGAAATTGGATGGAGGCAGTGGCTCAGCCCACCCTTCACCTCGGAGATTGGTGTGTGGCGGCAGAGTCTCCCACAAGACTCCCAGGGTCTCCCAGGATGGGTTTGCTGCCTGGTTGGAAGAGAGAAAATCATCCCATAGGACAAATCAGTCCCACCAGGGAGCTGCCATCAATGGTCACCTGATGCCTGAGAGGACAGCAGGTCCTGTCCAGGAGCTCATTCCCAGCCCCTGGACTGATTCCCTGGTGCCACTCAGGCCCTTTGTAAGGAATAACTGGGACTCCTGGTCCCAAACATCAGATCACTCTGCAAAATGTACCGTGTGGAATGTTCCCATCAAAGGGAGCGTTGCTCAAAACACATTTCAAATTGATCTTTCCCTCTTTTTTCTCTCAGTTTTTCACATAAGTGACCATGTGCATGAGCCCTGTCCCCATCCCCCAGTCTGGATCACTTAGAAGACATTTAAGACTTCCCAGTTCATCGAGGTGGGATATTCAAAGCCGGTATGAGGACACTTCCCAGGACCTCTCAGGGTGCAAAGTGCTCCCAACAGTTACAAACATGTTGCACTTGTACCAAAATACCTCAGGATTTAACACGAGTAGCCAAACAGAGACATAGGAGAGAAGAGGGGTGTCCCCAGTTTGGCCATAGCAGGTATCACCTGTGGTGGTGCCCACCTAGCACCCATCTCGGGGGTGCCTTCCCAGACACATCCCCCACCCCACCCCACCACAATGTCTCTGGAAAGACCAGGAATGCTCTTCCCAGGTCAGACAGTGCAAAGGTTGACAGGAACACCCTGAAGTGTTTCCTTAAATAGTTTGGTGCAACAATCTTTGCAATCACCAAGATTAAGGGTGGTTGTGTCTCCTCCACGTGCACATAGTGGTGGTGTCCAATCCCTGCCAGCCCCCAGGCAGCAACACCAGTCAAGGAGTAGACTATAGGACAGCGTTGGACCATGCTGGTCCCACACCAGGGACCACCACAACGGTGGCCACCATCCCAGTGGAGGGCATGGCCAGCACCAGAGGACTATGTCCCCCCTCAAGGCACCAGGTTGAATTTAGAGCACTGTTGTCTCCTTCTCCGTCATGGAAGAGATCTTGGAGAAGCTCCTGTGAACGATGCTGGAGTGGCCTGTCTCCTCACTGAGGGCGTTCACCAGTCTGGAAAGGATGGTGACCTTAAACTTCTTGAAGTCCTGGCCCATGAAGACGTAGAGCACGGGGTTCATGCAGCTGTTGGAGGCGGCGAGGGCCGTGGTGATGGGGATGCCGACCTCAAACACGGAGGGCGGGACCATGCCTGGCTCTGTCTCCAGCAGGTTCAGCAGGTGGTAGGGACTCCAGCAGAGGAAGAAGGTGACTATAATGGTGACGATGATCTTGAAGGGCTTTTTGGACTTGGCCAGGCGGTTCCGACGCAGGTTGAAGACGATGGCGACGTAGCAGAAAGTGATGATGGTTATGGGGAGGATGTACCCGCCGAGGAACCTGGTGATGTTCACCGTGCGGTGCCTCATCAGTGCCACGGCTTGGTAGGACTTGTTCCTGGAGAGGGAGAAGTTGCTGAAACAAATCACGGAATTTCGGGTTTGCGCCGTGTCTCGGAAGACAAGGGAGGGGCAGCTCATGATGATGCCGATGGTCCAGATGACCAAACACACCAAATAGGCCAGGTTGGTCGAGCGGTGGTTTTGGGACCAGACGGGGAAAACCACCGAGACGTAGCGGTCGAAGCTGATGGTGGTGAGCAGCAGGACGCTGGTGTACATGTTGAGGATGAGGAGGAAGGAGTTGAGCTTGCACATGACCGTGCCGAAGATCCAGTTGTAGCGCATGGCCGTGTAGGCGATGTTTATGGGCAGGAAGATGTTGAAGAGGAAGTCGGCCACGGCCAAGTTGAGGAACCAGACGGCGTTGACCGACTTCTTCATCTTCAGGGTGATGATGGCGATGACGAGGCCGTTGCCCAGGATGCCCAGCACGCAGGACACGGTGTAGATGATGACGGAGAGGATCCTCGCGATGTCCTTCGGGTCGTGGGACGGGTCTACCCACACGCTGCTCACGTCCTCGTAGATGTAATCCTGGTAGTCACTGTAGTTATCGGCATCATCCAGGAAACTGGACAGATTGGAAAGGGCCATTATCCGGACAAATCACAGCCTGGGCAGCCCCAGGATCTCCAGCTGGTGATGTTTCTCTGCTGGGCAAACAGATGGTGTCAGTCACAGGGGGAGGGTCACAGCTTCCCGACACATGTGGGCAAGAGGGGACAGGGAGAGAAGGGATGGAGCACACAGGTGTGGGGGATCTCATGGGGAATCCACAACTGGCCCCAGCGAAAGATGTTCTTGAAGCTCCTCACCGAGTTCCCACCCCCTGACCCTGAGACATCAGGACATGATTCAGCCCCTCATCTCCATCAGGATGTGGCTGCAGCCTCATCCTGCAGAAAATGTCTGTTACCCGCCCACTTCCAGGGGAAAAACCGGGATAACGCTTATTAACAGCTCATTATCAGCTTTGAGACCTTCCAATCTGCAACACATTATGGCTCTTCTGTATTGTGTCTCTCGAGTGTGCAGCAAATGGGACTGAAAACCCAGTGGGCAGCTCCCAATTTGCCCCACTGATGCCAAGCACCCTCTCACCTCTCACCTCTCTCTGGTGTGGTGGCCGTGCTCCAGCAGGATGGGGAAGAGGCACTAGTTCAGTGTCCCACAGCACAAAGGCAGCTCCCTCCACACAGGCCTAGGGATGGAGCTGTAACATTAAATCCAAGATCAAACAAAGGCCATTAACCCTCTGACATGGAATTAAGGGAGGAAACAGACTCAGCTGCTGCGATTTAACCCCATGCAGCCTCCTCTGGGGGAGCTGTGCTGGCCTGGGGACCCTCCTCACCACCAGTCTGGTGATGCTGGGGTCCTGTCCTGATCCCACCAGCTTTTGGGATAACCCAGGACAGAAATCCTGTACTGTACACTTGGTACAAGCACCAAACAGGAGCAGCATCAGTGGGTACTGCAAAGAACCAACAATCAGCCCCACAGCCACGTTACTATAAATAAAGATATGAATGTGCATGATGTGCATTGTCTGTTTTGCACCCTGGACTCTCATATGGTTATCTTTCCAATTAAACTGGTGTCCTATGTGTATCAAAGTGTTAATTGTTATACCCAACAGCGTCATTTGCCATCATCAGACTCCAGACTCCAGCAGGCACTTGGAGCCCTCGTTCAACAGGTTAAACCACCCCCTGTGAATCATCACAGTGAGTTAAAGCCAAAAGCCACCAAAGCCTGAACAAGCTCTGGAAGAAGGAGCAGGATCTGTGTGAGCCCCAGCACAGAGCATTACACCCAGATGTGTCCTGGAGGAGGGATGTGGCTCTGCCCACCCAGGGACACTCCCTGTTCCCAAGGCATTTCACCTCGAAGGTCCCCTCAGCGTCAGCCTCCCGCCAGCCCTGCTTTGAAATTCCCATGGTGTTTGTGTTGGAACCTATTGTTTCTCCCTGGGCTTTTCCTCCTGTTCCTTCCTGCCATTGCTGCTGCAAAGTTCCTGGCCAGGGGGTTAAATCCCACCCCATCACCCCCCTGTTTGCTGAACTGCAAGGGGTGATAAGAGGCCAGAATAAATGAGGTTTTAGTGCAAAGTTTGGGAATCAGCTGGAACTGAAAGGAGCTCTTGTCCTGGCAAAACCTTGATGGTCAAGAGATGAATTAAAGTTGATGATCCAGTGGAAGGAATAGAATCAGCAGAACTGCCTCCTAATGTTAATGTTCCTGGGTAATGAGTCGCTGTTCTATGGAACAGCAGCTTTCAGGTCATCACCTTCCCAAAGAAAGGTGGGAGAACCCAGAACCACATGTGCATCCCACCCCTCCCCATCGCCTCATATCCCATCCCACTTCATTGCATCCCATCCCACCACACCCCATTGCATCACATCCCATCCCACCCTATTTCACTGCATCCCATTCCATGCCACCCTGTGCTGTCCCACCCCACCACCCAGAGAGCCCCAAAGCTCCCAGGACTTGCTCTACCACCATGGAGAAACCCCCAAAAATGCCACCCACCCTCATTTCCACCACGGTGTCACCTGTGGGGTGAGTGAGAGATCCCCAGGGCTGGACCACCACCCCTCACCACCACAGGGTCACCCAGAGCCCACGTTCGGCCCCTGCTCCAGGTGGGCAAGAGCAGTTTCTGAGCTTCAAAGGTTCCTCTTCCCACTGTGACCACTTACATATTTTTAACATAAAATCTCCTTTTCACTATTATTTTTAATTGCTGAGCCTGATGAGTTTCACACATTCCAAAGCTCTGTTAAATAAATTATTTATTTTGTCTATTTATTTTGCTCTGCCATGCTGGGCTGAGGTTGGCCTCAGTCCCCAGCTGGGATGAGGATGGCAGAGAGCAACAGGAACATCAGGACTCTGTTTCCCCATGGGATTTGGCACGGGATGAATTTGTCTCCAGGGCTCATGAGTATCAATCCCAAACCCCACAGCAGCAGGCAGGCAGCTGCTAACTCCACCATGAACATTCCAGATGGCTCTGGAGAGCTCAGGGGCAGGATGGGCACCAGGCACAGGGGGTACCAGGAGCCTAGACCTGCTGGAAAATCATCCAGCAAATTCCCACCTGCCTCCCTAAAATCCTCCCAAAAATGGAGAGGGCAGCTGCCTGAAACCTCCTCATTTCTCACTGCAAAAAACCCCAAAGTCAGGCAAAAAAAAAAAAAAAAAGCCGTATAATACCATGAGTGTTTCATCGTTGCTCTGAGGGCTGAAAATTCCCAGCTTGAGCCAAAACCACTGTTCTCCCTTCGGTCTATTCATCTGTGTCCTCCTACCTCAACAAAAATGAGCACAGAATTTACCCAAAATAGCCTCTTGGTCCGACATTCCCGCAGCTGTATTTGTCTTGGTACCCAGGGAAGGCCGAGCCCAAGCCGGGGCGCCGGCTGGGATTCCCGACGGGCGGCACATCGGCAGCATCCCGCGGATGAGGTCAGGGATGTTGTTCTTGGGAAGGCAACAGGAAGCGGAGAGAACAGCAGAAAATGTTCGAATCCAGCTTTTCTGGGCGAAAACTCTTCCGTGGCCAGCCCAGACGGGCGGGGGACGGATGTGAGTGGGGAAACGGCGGGGGAGCTCGGCTGGATCCGCCTGCCAGGGACACAGGGAGGGCAGGGGATGCTCGGCACCCTGGCAGGAGGGACCACCGGGCACGGGCGGTGCCAGAGCCCTGCACCAGGATTTACAGGGATGGGCAGGCTGCCAGCACCGCCTCCTGCCCCCTCAGTGCCCGCGGGCCAGGCTTTTACTGGAGGAACTGGTACAGGTTGAGGGAACAAAAGTAGAAGCAAATCAAATAAAATCACACCAAAATCAAATCAAACCGGCAGAGCAGCTTTTGAGCACATCAGGTCCTGCCTGAGCTGTCAAAGTGCATCACACTTTTATCCACATCATGCAATGAAACCGGGCTGGGACCTGCCTGTGCCGGGTCTGCAGCCCTGGGGAAACTGGGGGTGCCCCTGGGTTGGTGCTTGTGCCCCCACAGCACCCGCGGGGTGCAAGGGACACCTGGGGACAGGACAAACAATCCCCTGGGAAGCAGGGGAGTGTCAGGGTGGGCTCTGCTCGCCCCTCCCGCTCAGCTGCTCCGCCTGTTTCTCCTTCGAGCACTTGCCTCCCTCTTCCAGCAGCGGCTTCCGAGCTCCCAGCACACCCCAAAACCCCAACCCACTTCCTCCGGCGGGTGAGAGGCACAGGAGCTGCCCACGCAGCCCCGGCACAGCCCCACTCCCCGGGAGAGGGGAATTGCCAACAGATGTTTGGGAGAACACACGGTCTCTCAGCTGAGGAGCTTTGGGGAGGGCACGGGGCAAAACAGGATCTCCATGTTCCCCTGAACCTGCTCATACTGGCCCCCACTGAGTCGCTGGCGCAGTCCTGGATGTCCCTGGAGGGCAGGGATGTCCCTGGGGACATGTGGCAGGTGCTGGTCTCAGTCTCATGGGTGCTGATTGCTCTGGTTGAGCTTGAGTCCCACCCTGCAGGCTGGATCCTGAGCATCCCTATGGATTCCACAGGCCAGATCTCATGCCCCAGGGAAGATGGATGCAAGCCCCACCCCAAGCTGGTACCTGAAGCCATCCCCATCCATCCCTTCAGCACCGACACTTTTCCAGCCCAGGGTTACACGGGAGGGATTTCCCTGTCAAGATCCAGCTCCCAGTCCCACATGGGAATTGCCAGGGCTCAGTGGAGCAAGACACCAAAAGGAATGGGAAAAAGCCAAAAGGCTCTGGGAACCCAGCTCCAACTCCCCCTTATTTTGGCCAGAAATTGCCATGGTAACAGCTGCTACAGGGATGATGTGCAGCACCCCACTCCTCACTGGGATACACAGGGTGGAGCCCCAGCTGGGATTTACTCCTGGGTGTAAATCCACCACCAGCCCATCAAAAGGGAGTTTAGACCTCACCGGTGCAAAACTCCAAGCCCTGGCCTGCCCAAAGCTACTCCTGGCCACGATCCTGGTCCTGCCACCATCCCTGATCCCTCTGTCCTGCTCCAGCAGGCTGACAGGGATGCGGATGCCATGGGAGATGCCACAGGAGAAGCAGCAGCAGGTTGAGCATGGGCTGCTGCCAAATAGGATCCAGGCTGGAAGGTCTCCCGATGCTCCCCCAGGAGCTGGGCATCTCCAGGGCAAAGGGAGGGGGCACAGCCAGTCCCCTTGGGGGAAACTGAGACAGGGGGCTCTTCCCCAAGGCTGAGGGTGGTGGGAAGCCTGATCCCTACCTGCATCCACGGCACTCAGACACATCCTGCTTCACCACCACAGAGCGGGGACTCCCAGCCTGCAGCATTCCCGGCTGCTCCAGACATCCCAGCTAAGGCTTCGTCCCCTGCCCCGTGTGAACAGCACAGGAAAAAAAAGGAATAGCTGGAAAAGGCAGCCTTAAAAAAGCTGCTGTGCCCAGGGTGGGACAGAATAACATGAGTCAGTGTTTATCTGGGCAGTGCTGGCTGGGCCGTGTGGGACGGGACGGCTCGGGATGGGATGGATCCCATGGATACCCCAGGCCATGGTATGGGGTCACCCCGGTGGGGAACACACCCCAATCCAGGCAGAAACTGGTGTTTAACCTCAAAATTCAGGTCATGAAAGGCTCTTGCCAGGGTGAAGCTCCAGCAGGATCCAGGCAAAGGAATGCATCCTTCCCTGGCACAAAGTGTTGTTAAGAGCCGCCCCGTTCGTAAAATCCCGGCCTTTTGCTCCATCCAGTCTGCTCTTAGGGAGGTTTGAGGATTAAAGGGGAAAATATTGGGCGTTTGTACCTACACAGGCAAAGCTTTTCTTTGAAAAGGGCAGTTTGTGGTTCTGAGCCGCTTAAAATGACTTGACTTGCAAGATAATAAAAGTTCTTTCATCTGCTCTTCTCTCTTTTTTTTTCTAATAATCCAAGGCTCTCCTGGTACTTTTCAGGTAATAAAAAGAGCAGTAAAACTCCCTTTTTTTGCAGCATCCTCCCTGCTACATCCCACCAACACAGGGAGGGATGTCCCTGAACAGGGGTTGGGCTTCGACATGACTGCCTGGGGACAAAGCCTTGGGGACATCACTCCGGATTTGGAGGGTACAAAGAACAAGGAAAGCAAGAAAAAGGAAATAAGTCTGCTGGGGGACGGACGTGACCGTGAGAGGGGCGGATGGGGCAGCAGAATCAGCCCCCCCCCGAGTGACAGAGTCCCCCCGGATCTGCAGGAGCATCCTTGCAGCTGTGTTTGGCATTCCCAGCTGAATGCTGATCAGCACGGGAAAGAAAAGCCCCCCTGTTCTCCCTGTCCCCACCGAGGTGACAGTGCCACACTGTCAGGACATCACCCCCCCAAATTCACACCCAGCTCCTCTCCCTTCCATGCAGTTTTCCCACCATTAAGGGCTTCTGTCACCACAGGCTGCAAAGCCCAGCTTCAAAACAGGTGGGGACTTCATGGAAAATTAGGGACAATACGGGGTTTGGGGTGGAGGACAGCAGGGATCCCAGAGATCCCCACCACTCACCGTCCTGTGCCATCACAAATCCACTTTATAACAACAGGGGAACAAAACACCTCAACTGGCTGCAAATCCACAGCAAAACCCTCCTCCCAAATCCCTATAAAAATAAAGATATTAATACATATATAAATCCAGAGGTGTTTACCTGAGCTGGATAAATCCCCGAGGATTTTTCAGCATCTGGAGGCTGGATTAGACATCCCTGCTTCTTCTATACCCACATTAGGGCTGGCATGGAAATGACCCCGGGGTTGGGTCACTCGGTGTCCAAGCTGGAGCTGACAGGGATATTGTGGAAGTTTCTCATTCCAGAGACATGCACAGGGAATGGGAGGATGGGGAAAAGAATTGCAGCTGGTGAGATAAACCAGCTCGGCACAGAGAGCCTGGGAAGGGGGAAGCAAAGCTCTGCGGGAGGATGTGGGCTTCGGGCCGTGGGTTCAGCCGGACACGAGAGGGGATGTGGCAGTGGCTGCCCTCAGTGACGTGTCCCTTCCACCACCCTGTGCTGCCCGCAGTGGCTTGGGAGCCCCATGGGACCCCTCAGGAAAGGTTTGGCCATCCCTCACCGTGGTCTTGTTGCTCCTGCTGAACACAGCCAGAGGGTCTCCTCGGGCTTCTCCACCCCTGGATGCCCCTCATCTCTGTTCCCTAGGACACCTATGTCCCTGCCCCACTCCTGGGACGCTCCTGGCCTCGCACATGCAGGAGTGGAGTAACCCAAAGTCATCCCTGGGATGCATGGAAAACAGGGACCGTGTCCCTGCCTCACCAGGTCCTGCCTGTTCCCAGCTGTTCTTCCAGCTGGGTTGAGGTGGGATCCAGCAGCACGTTCCCAGTGATGAATCAGCCTGTCCTGGTTCGCACTGGGACCCCAAGCAGAGGGTCACCAGCCAAGGGCCATCCTGGTCTGGACCCTGTGAGGAGGTAGGAATTGCTGGTGGCACGCACGGTGCATCCGGTGACCTGGCACTGGCTGAGCCCAGAGGGACACAAAAAATCCCTGCCCTGAGCCAGGAGAACCCATCCAGAGGGAGATACCAATGCCTGGACCTGTGGCACTGTGCACCTGCACCGGAGCATCACTTCCACCACAGCAACCCCCTGCTCCCACCACAAATATCCAGGAGTTTTCTGGCTTCAGACACGCACAGGGGACATATCCCAGTTCCCTCAGAGCCGCCACACAACAGCCAGAAAACTGCTGCCCAACTCTGACCTGGAGTCAGCAGGTGATGTCAGCGGAGAGCGATTCCCTGTGGGAGCTCACAGCCATCATGTCCCGTGCAGGTGGGGACAACGACCCCCGCTCACGTGGCCGAGTTCCCACAGGAGCCAAAAAAGAGGAATTGGGGCCGGGGCCCACTTTGCACAACGGGGCCGTGTCGCAACATCCCCGAGGCTGAATCAGGAGGAAAAGTGCTGATGTGCCAGATCAGTGGGGCCAGCGAGGGGAAAGGAGAAGAGACCCAAAACCCCAGACGTCTGCACCAGGGGGGATGTGCCAGCTGGGCAGCTCGTGACTGGCACACTGGGATCCCTCTGTCCCAGGACCCCCAGCATGGGGTGGCAGCTCCACAGGGTGCCGGTGCCAGCGGTGCTCCAGGGTGTGCCACACTTGTGGCACCTATGGCAGGTCCCCAGTGGGGTGCAGCCCGTCTGACCAGGGGGCAGCAGTGCCCCCATGACAGTGGGAAATGCCATTCACTTCCCAAAATAATAAAAACCAGAAGAAACGTGGTCCTGGATTGAGGAGGGTCACAAATGCTGGGTGTTCCCCATCGCTCTGCTGCAGGTCCTGTCCCATCCACTGCACAGTAACACACCCAGTCCCCCCAGTAACACACCCCAGTGCTCCCAGTGCTCCCCCAACAAGCCCTCCAGTCACCTTTCCAAATACCTTGTGTGGTGCCACGCTCTCCCACTGTTCCCTGTTGGGCAGGACGAGGTCGGGGTGCCCAAGGTGTCCAGTGGGATCCCATTCCCAGGCGTATCCCAGCGTGGCAGGATCAGACCAAGGCACGGGGCCGCTCCCCGCCGGTTTTAAGTGCGAGGGGAGTGGGCAGGAGTCCCGGTTACATCCATCACCAGGGTTTTCTTGGCAGCAGGATGCTCTGTGAGCAACAGCTGGGAGAGGGTGTGACGCCGGGAGCTGGGAACGCTGGCCCGGATCCTGCCACGGCCCAGCGTGAGGAAGCAACAACTGCTTCCCAAGGGGCCTCCTTTCCTGTCCCGTCCCCCAGGCCGGGATCACACCGCCCTAAGGAGGGATAACGGAGCACAGAGTGCTCCAGAGGGATGCTGGTCCTCCAGGGGGGGCAGGTGGCTGCCAACCCCCCCCGTGCTGTCCCCACCCTGGGTCAACCCCTGTCCTCTGCCCTCCCCACCGCCCCCAACTCCTTCCAAGACGTTGAGTCACTTCCCCTCGGCAAATCTGGCTCCCAAACGCCGCTGCTGCTGCTCAGGGGCTGCTTTCCCGATGGATTTCATTAGCACCAGGATGCTACAGCTGCTTCCAGGCAGCACTCCCAGCCCATGGGGGCTCTGTGGTGGCAGATCTGTCCCCCACAGCCCCAACTACACCTGCAAGGAAAGTTCTTTGGGGGCACATGGAGGGGCTGAGAGAGGCACTGGGTTGCCCCGGGCAGGAGAGATGGGCAAGGCTGGATGCAGGGATGGGGTTCAGGGGGAGCCTGGTCCCAAAAGGGAGCTTTTGGGGCAGGCCCCAGTTTGGGAGCACTGAGCAGCACAGCCCCCACCCACACGGAGTAGGAGGTTTGGATAACTCCACACTTGATGTGGCACTGGGAAAATTCCTTCCCTCCCCACGCAACCCCTGCACTCCCCAGCTGCAGCCATCCCAGTCCCAGGCTCAGCCCAGAGGGTTAAGAGCCAGTGCAGGGTTTGGGTGCAAAGGCATCACCTTGGAAACACAAGGAAGCTTGGGAGTGACACTCCCATCTTACCCCCTTCCAGCTTGGAGAAGGAGCAGGATTTGCTCCAGCACAGGTCCAAGCAACACCAGCCCTGGATTTGCTACCAGCCAGTTCATCTCTCTCCCCAGCAGAAAGAAAGTTCATACATTACAGGTGATTAATTAAGGTTAATTAAGGCCACAAAACATCGTGCATCCAGCCAGCAAGGGAGAGGATTAACTACAAATTGATGTTTTTACCTTTGGTGTGCCGGAGTCAAACGGTGCCACAAAGGGACACTCATCCCAGGCAGCTTCGGGTGGCACCATCCCCGTGTGTGGGATGGGCAACGTGGTGGGACCTGGGGGCTCCCCAGAACCACTGCAGGGTGTGGGGGGGCTGGGATGACCGAGCACAGATGCTCCTGCGTGTGGCCTTGCCCAGGGCTGATCTTGGGGCACCTCGACACCGAGGGGTCCTGAGCCGGGAGCCGGCACAGTCCCAGTGTTCTCAGCAAACCTGAGCTCTGCACACCCACAGCACTGGGGCAGGACCTGTCCCCCTGGTACTGCTGCTTTCCCAGGCCCCCTTCCCCTGGTCCAGGCAGGATGCAGGATCCTTCCCCCAGGCCCTTATCCCTGTGCTTAGCAAGACGGTGAAATAAAAACACGCTGAGTGGGGACACAACGTCCCCTCCCGAGCGTTTGCTGTGGGCTGTGGTTTGGGGTTTCCCTCCGGCATCGCCTGCTCAGCAAAACACTGCCGGCAGCAGCGCCTGCACCGGGACAAACGCCCCGTTCCCAGGGCCGGTGTGGCAGCAGAACCATCCCGGCACTGCTGGAGCAGCCGTGGGGAGCAGCAATTCCAGGCACCGGAGCCGGCGGAGCCTTTGGCAGCCGCCACGTCCTTGGCGAGCACCGAGTGCCACCCACACCGAGCAAAGCAATTAGAGCTCTAAATTGATTTGGGCTCATTAAAACCCCCGGAGCTCCTCCCTGCCGAGCCGGGATGCACAGACCGAGCCCGGCAAAGCCGACCCCGCCGGCACAGGCGCTCGCCCTCCTCTGCCGCCCCCGTGGGCGCTGGGAACCCGTCTGACTCAGCCCAAAACAGATGTCACGCTTAATGGGGAAGAGAAGCTTTTCCCTCTCCAGGGGAGCTTTGTCCGTCATCCAGCAGCACTTTCCCTCGCCCTGGGCAGAGCCGTGGGGATACATGGGAATGGCTGGAAAAGGAGGTGGGTTGAGCTGAGAGGACACAGCAGAGGGCTCCTACCACATATCCCAGTGTTTCAGGGTTGGGTTTATCCCCTGCCTTTCCCACAGGGAGTTCATCCCTCTGGCTCCTGGCTTCACACCCGCTGTGGTCCCGAGCTCCCAATCTCGTCACTGCCTCTCGATCCAAGTGGAAATGAAAAGTCACTGTACAAATAAAGAGCCCACATACAGGATGTCAGAGAGACATTTCACGTTCCCTGTTTTCCCTGATTTGACACAATCATGGAAAAAAACAGTCCCAACCTTGTGCAACTCGGGGCTTATGAACAGCTCCATGAGTCTGGAACACAGCGGGGCTGGGATGGGGCTGCTGGATCCCACTGTGGTCCCAAGGCTGTGGCACCACATCCCACTGCATCCCACCACTGGCATGGACAGGTCAGGGCACCTCTGCCTGGTTTGCACACAGAGCTGCTGGTTCAGCCCCAAACCACCCTCCCAGCACCTTCCCCACCTGAGCATTTTCCCACAAATATCCCAGCTCTGAGCATCCAGCCAAATCCTTTGGGATTCCTTCCCAAATTTCCCCAGCACCCTTTGCTTGTTGGTACAATGCTACAGAATCCTTCATCCTCTTCCCCTCGTGGAGTGTGGTTTGGAAACACAAGGGCCTGAAAGCTGGATTTCTGAGTGTGGTGCTGCACCTTCATTTCATGGCCTTGATCTAATTGTAAGGAATTTTATCCCCCAGCTGCTCGGCGGAGGAGGGAGCCGATGGCCCAAAGGGCAGAGGAAGCAGCACGTGGGGGATTCTCTGTGTGTCCTTGTGCTTTATTATCCTTAAAATGGATTCCTGACCAGGCAGATTCCAATATCAGCACAGGTATTCCCTGCTCTGCATCCCAGTTTCCCCCCTCCAAGATTGTTAGTTTTGCCAGAAATGAGTGTTTTCTCATCACCCTGAGCCCTTTCCTGCAGAAAATGTGCCATCCATCTCTTTTTCTCCCACTCATTGTGGGTTTTTTTAGCGTGACAGCTTGTGTGGGAACCATGGAAGCCAGGACTGATGGTGTCTGCAGCTCCAAGGAAAAAAAACCCACAAGCTCTGGATTTGGAGAATGGGAAGAGGACACCAGTGGGAGCAGGAATGTGGGGGGGCAGAATCCTTGAGCTCCCCACTCTGTACTCAGTGGCACAGTGAGCACCAACCCCTTGGGCCTGGGGGGATTCCAGATGGAGAGGGGATAATTTAGGATGGAAGGGGGTTAAACAGCCCTGACAGGGCTCCAGGTCTGGATGCTGAGCATCCCACTGGGAGTCAGGTGATGCTGAGAGGTCTCCAAGGCCTTATATTGGCTACAAAACTGCTGGAGCTTAATTCAGGCTCATCCTTCACCCTAAAACCCTTTCAGCATCACCCTAAAATCCCTCTGGATGTGTTTTTCCACAGCTGGTGTCCCATGATCACAGTGAGCAGATACCAAACACAGACAGAGGTGAATATTCCTGAAATCTCTTGGAAACAATAGACCCATCGGTGGGTCCTGGCTGACAAACCCCTCAGGAAACACCTAATTCTTTAAGGCACCAGCTGGATTTGTCTTAATAACAAAAACTTAAAACCAAAAGGCTTCAACTTCCCAAACATCCATAAGAAAACCTGCTTTATTTATGACTTTTATAACAAATAAAACCAGTTTTCCTTATAATGAACATCCAGGCAAGTCCCTGCTCTACAGAGCAAGGCTTTGCAGAGACAACTGTTTTGGAGGTGGCTGTGCCCTCCAGCTTTGCCAATCCTGCTTCCCATCACTGGGATGGGCTGGGGGGCTGCTCCAGGCCAGGAAGTGTCTGGTTCCTTGCGGGAATCCTCGGCATTCCTGCCAGCTCCGAGAAAGCAATGCCACTTTCAGGCCTTTTTTGGCCAGGGGTGGCCTTGGTACAAGTCCCCTGAGGTCCAAATTCTGCTGGAATTTTTAAAAATAA